CAACTTCGATCAAACATCATTGAAATTATCAAAATTGTTAACATATGGAACTTTAAAAATTCAAGCCTTTATTAAATCACAAAATTGTAATACAAGATTATTTAATTTATTAAATAATTTTATTACAATATAATAATCCCACAATTTTACACAAAGCAAAAAAAAAAAAAAAAAACTACAGAAAAGTGCAAAGCATGCTACTGCTTATATGTTCGCCTGGTACCGATTCACATTCAGCGAAGCTTAAAAATCTGGAAAAAAAAAAGTGAAGTTATTAGTAAACATGCAGCTAAAAATGAACAAAGAAGAAAACTACATACCTTCAAAGGTCTACTTCTGTACTTGTACGTCTCAACCAACGTTGATTCATGTCCAACAAAGCCTAAAAACCTGGAGAAAGAAGAGTTAAGTTGGTAGTAAACATGTAACCAAAAAAAAAAAAAAAGAAAACTACATATTTTAGAAGGTGTTACTTCTGCACTTATACGTTCGTCCGTGCTAATTCACATCCGGTGAAGTCTAAAGACCCGAAGAAAGAAGGTGGAATTAGCAATAAACAAGCAACCAAAAAAAGAACAAAGAAGAAACTACATACTTCCTGAATGTGCCACTTTTCCTGGTGCTGATTCACGTTCAACGAAGCTTGAAAAAAAAAAGCAAAAATACCTTCAAAGATGCCACTTTGCACCCGGTGCTAATTCACATCTAGCGAAGCCTGAAAACCCAGAAAAAGAAAATTAAAGTTAGTAAAAACAAGCAACTAAAAAAAAAGAACAAAGAAGAAATTACATACTTTCCTGATGCTGATTCACACTCAACAAAGCCTAAAAACCTAGAGAAAGAAGAGTGAAATTAGTAATAAGCATGCAACTAAAAAAAAAAAAGCAAAGAAGATACCTTCGAAGATGCCACTTCGCATTTATACATTTGCCCGGTGCTGATTCGCATCCAGCAAAGCCTAAAAACCCGGAGAAAAAAAGTGAAGTTAGTAGAAACAAGCAACTAAAAAAAAGATCAAAGAAATTATATACTTCCCAAAGGTGCCACTTTTCCTAGTACTAATTCAAGTCAAATGAAGCCTGAAAACTTAGAGAAAGAAGAATAAAGTTAGTAGTAAATATACAACTCAAAAAAAAAGAACAAAGAAGAAAACTACTACCTTCGAAGGTGCCACTTCGTACTTATACATTTGTCCGGTGCTGATTCATGTCCAACAAAGCCTAAAGACCTGAAGAAAGAAGAGTGAAATTAGTAGTAACAAGCAACTAAGAAAAGAACAAAGAATAAATCACATACTTGCCACTTATACTTTTTCCGGTACTGATTCATGTCAAGCGAAACCTAAAAATCTGGAGAAAGAAAAGTAAAGTTAGTAATAAACACACACTAAACAAAAAAGAGAACTAAATACCTTTGAACGTGCTACTTTTGCATTTATATGTTTGCCTGGTACTGATTCACGCCTAGTGAAGCCTAAAGACTCAGAGAAAGAAGAGTGAAGTTAGTAGTAAACAAGCAACTAAAAAAGAACAAAGAAGAAACTACATACCTTCGAAGGTGCCGCTTCGCACTTATACATTCACTCGGCGCTAATTCATATTAGCAAAGCCTAAAAACCCGAAGAAAGAATAGTGTAGTAGAAAAAAAGTGAATAAAAAATAACAAAGAGGAAAATATTTACCTTCCCAAAAGTGTCACTTATACGTTTGCCCGGGCGCTGATTCATGTCTGGCGAAGCCCAAAAACTCAAACAAAGAAGAGCAACATTAGCAAACAACAACTAAAAAAAGAAAAAAGAATGACCAAAAAAACCAAATGTCTTACCAAAACTGCCACCTCACATTT